TTTGATGGGAAGGTTGGATACATCTACATCCCTCTGTGTTAGTATGTCCACTGATGTTGCCATTGTTCTGGTCTTGTTTATGCAACTATGTCTAGGAAAGACAGTTTCATGGTAGACTTCTTAATATTATGGTTCTTTCTGTCCCCTTTTGGTGGTTTGAATAGGTATGACCCTCATAGACTCATGTGTTTGAATGCTTGGCCTATAGAAAGGGGCAATATTAGGAGGTGTGGCTTTGTTGGAGTAGGTGTGGACTTGGTGTAGGAAGTGTGTCAATGTGGAGGTGGGCTTTGAGGTCTTTTATGCTCAAGTTATGGCCAGTGTGGGACACACAGTTCACTTCCTGTCACCTGCGGGTCAAGATGTAGAGCTTTCAGCTCTTTCCCCAAAACCATGTCTCTTTGCATGCCACCCTACATGATGATAATAGGCTAAACCTCTGGACTATGAGCTAGCCCCAGTTAAATGTTTTCTTTTATAAGAGTTGCCATGGTGTCTCTTCACAGCAATAGAAACCCTAAATAAAACACCCCTCTTCCATTATGCTTCCTTGAATACCAGAAATGACAGTGCTATGGAATGGTTTACAAGGACAGAGGCAGGTGTGGAAAAGACACAGCCTATGTCTATGTGACAGTCTGTGTTTGATGTAAATGGCAGAGCTGGAGAATGGACCTGCACAAACATTTTGGGGCTAGACAACTACACAATGAGTGAGTCCCAGATGCTGGACATGCAGATATATGATTTACATTCACACTGCTATATTTTTCTTTAATTTTGCTATTTTTCACTGCTTTCATTTTGGAGTAAGACATATATTGTTTGTTCTTTATTTTTAAAGAGCTTCAACTTAAGGGACTTTTGATTTGGAAAGAGGCTTTGAATTTTTTATTGCTTAAAAATTTCAAGAGTATGGGACTTTGAAATTTTGACTGTATTTTATGTGGTGATGTTAAAATGAGAGCTCAGAGACAAGGAGTAGAACAATTAAGGCTTTACGTGAAATGTTTGTGTGGTAAGTTGACAAATGGAATGTCCTAGTTATCAAACTGGCATATTGACACAAATCAGGATCCCCTGAGAAGTCTCAATTGAATATCTTTATTAGTTTTTCTTATCGACAAGTCTCTGAGAGATTTTCTGTCTTCCATCATGTGAGCTTTCCTCCCCTTCACATATCCCCACCTCCATTACATTCTACATCGATGCGTAGAGTCATTAAATCATGTATCACACACTCAAACAGCGAGCCACAATAGTCTGTCTTCTCTTTGTATCACATGATAATTGAAACAGAGTGACTTGTATTCCAGCAAAAATAAAACAAAAACACCCTAAATTCATGTTGTTACCAGATGCCCACTATGAAATAAGGACACATCAGATTAAAATAAAATAATTGACAAAACCTCTCTACCACTAATAAAAAGGAAGTGTTGTATTTTTATTGGAGCACTAGTTACAACATTCAGTACATGGGAGACTTAGACATGCAACAACAGATAAATGGATTGTGAAACTGTGACAGTCACACACAGCATGTCATACCTTAACTGTCAAAAATAAGGAGTTCTTGTTCTTGGCTACAATATGGGTGGAGTTATGCCCAATAGTTAGGAACTTTGTACAATCTCTCAAAATAGAACTACTAGCTGGACAATAAACATTTAAAGCAAAAGTCTTTGAATATTTTTGATACTCAGACCTTAACATTCTGCCCTCTATCCCAAAGTGTCGCGCGCATTTCATAATGTAAAACTCATGTAGTTCATTTTCAAAAGTCACAAAATATTTACATTTCCAACTCTGTTTCAAAGCTTAAGTTCAATAGGAGGGCAGGATAGCAGTTGGAATTTGGAGAAAGTTAAGTATAACACTATAGGCCTTATAAAAAGCTATGTAGAAGCCCACTACTTCCTAAAATAGATACATAGATTAGTGGAGTTTTAATCTAAATTGAGTTACCATTTAACTCCACTGGAGGTAAGATCAATGTAAGGAGAAAACCTCATTCACATATGGAATGTATTTTAAAGTGTCAATATGTACAGGCAGACTGCATGATATGATGGTGGTTACTAAACCTTTACAGTAATAGAAAATGGGAAAACATGTAAAAAATATGAAGTAACAAATACATAAGACAGAATAAAAATGACTTACAATACAAGATCTCTATGTGATAATAGTGCATTGCATTCAGGAGTTTTTCCTAAAGCAGTTTTTGCTATATGGAGAGAAAGGAAATTTACATTTTATATATGTATGTATGTATGTGTGTGTATAAATATATCTATGTTAGTGCATTCAATTTTAACAACCATTTTATCACATATCACGCAACATGATGATATACTCTTAGTTTGCACTCTCAATTTTACTTTAATTGCAAAAAATGGACAGTACTGACCTCCAAGGCAGAGTTATGACTGGAGGAACAGAGGAAACTCACAGAGGCAAGGAAGTATTTTGTGTCTTGACTGGGTTTTGAGTCAAGTAGTTACATTTATCCAAGCAAATTTATTGAAGTATGCATTTGTTTAATCTGTGCATATCACTTTTCCTTAATTACACTTTAAATTATCAAATGCAACAACATTTAAGATTGAAATATTATTTCACAGAAAGCGTTACCTCACTCAAGATAATATTTCTAGGTTCAGCCTTTTATCTACAAATCTCATTTCTTTTTTGTTTACAGCTGAATAGTATTCCATTATGCCTATGGAGCACATTTTCATTATCCATTCCTCCAGTGGATGACATTGGGTTGTTTCTATTTCCATGCTTCTGTGAAAGTGTCAATGAACACTGGTGAAAAAGTATCTGTGGACTAGGATGTTCAGGTCATATGCCTATGAGTAATATAGCTGGGTAATTTGGTAGATACATTTTTAGTCTTTGAAGATTCTCCATCCTCTTTTCCAGAGTGGCTACACCAGTTCACATTCCTACAAGAATGAATGAGGGGTTTGCTTTCTCCACAGCCTGGACAGCATTTGTTGTCAGTTTTTTTTGTTGTTGATTTTAAGTGTGTTGCCTGGGGTGACATAAAATGTCAAAGTTGTTTTAGTTTGCATTCTTCTCATTGCTTAAGATGATAAAGACTTTTCAAGATTTTATTAGCAGTTTTTATATATTCTCTTCAGAACTCCCTGTTTAGGTCCCAGTCCCATTTTTCAGATGGTAGTTTGGGTTTTGAACTCTTTGCTTCTGAAATTCTTTATATATTCTGAGTATCAATACTCTGTGAGGTGTATAACTGGCAAAGAATATCTCCCATTCTATGAGTTTCTTCTTTACCTGACTGATTGCTTCTTTAGCTGTGCAGAATTTTTTTAGTGTTTTTTGAAGACCCACTTACCAGTTGTTTGCCTCAATTCCTTAGCAAATGGAGTCCTGTCCATAAAGACAAAGGGCACACAGTCTCTCTTATCTGTAGTTCCTTGCTCCAAATTCTCAGATATGCCTATACAACATGGAATAACCACAAACCAGAAGAGCATAAAGAGACCATACATTGGGGGGCTTGGGAGGAAATAGTAGGATAGAGATTATATGAAGAGGGAATTGGAATAATGGGGAGGTGATCTGACTGAGGTAGAGGGTAGAAGGTCAATAGAGAAGGAAGAGGAGGGACAAGGAACAAAAAATAGGAAGGTTGATTGTTAAGGCCTTAAGGAATTTATTATTTTACATTTCCTTGAAATTATACACATACATGAATATATATTCATGTACACATATACTTGTATACATACATATGCATATATATTTACATACATCTTAAAGGAAATTAATCCACTAGGATTGACAATAATACCCACAGAACCAATTCCAGGCATGAGAAACCTCTTTTTGAATGGTTGGTCAGGGTAGTCCCTGTGACTCCCAAAACAATATAGATTATAGATGTAACCATTGGTCATTCCTTAGTGGTTGAGGGTAGGATGCTGTTGCTGAAGTTTCTTCACATTTAGGATGAAGGACTCAGATGATTTGAACTTGAGCTGACCTCTTTCCTGAAGTATGGCTTCCTTGGTTTCAAAAAAACTATACAAACTACCAAAGGAATGAAGCAATTAAATAGTCCTACCAAGCTTCAATACTCACGAATCATTTTAAAAAGAAAATAGAAACACTCATAATTCAAGTTATGGAGGCTATGCATTGCTGTAAATAATGTAAATCTGACAGAGGTTCAATTCAAGAGGAAATCAATTCAATGACACTCATTGGAAATTTTTTCATGAGGGGTTAGACAGTCACAGAGAGACAGAGTCAGGGCAAAGACAAGGGAAGAGCAGGGAAGACATGACCATGGAATGTTAACCAAGGCATTGGGAAAGGGAGAAACTGGGGACAATCTCTCTCTACCTTCAAGTGTGCTTTGATGTTGATGTATAAAACCTGACCTTATTCTTTCAATGCTGAAGATGGCAGATACTTGAAATTCAAGACTCAAATGGGTGAATGGAAATTTAGAATAGGCAGTCTTGAAGATGCACATTTGTTTCCTATGCAATTTTATAAGGTACATTTTAAAATTATTCATATATTCTAAAATGTGAGGCTATTGAGAGAAACTGGAATTGTGGGAATTTCGATTAATTTCTCTTAATATTTAGAAAACAACCTGTTAAAAAGGACATTTCTATAAAATATAGTATTCATTTAGTCTTTATCAAGTTCAATGTCCAAAAAATCCTGACTTTCCCCTCATTGCCTTGGGCTTTCTTTGTCTATAGCGGGAGATGCCCTGGTCTCAAGTGATTTGATTACAAGGGTTGCATCACATAGGGCCACGTAAGGCAGCTTTATGGTGCTGCAGTCAGTTTCTGTTCAACAAGCCCCATTTCACTCAATTTCTACAAATTGACTATTTTCTCAATCAATTAAACAAGGTTGTGAAAATGGCCCACACAGATAAAGGCCAAGTTGATAGTCTAAACAACTGTGTCTGATCAAGGACACACTCAGCTACTACACCAGACTGTTTACTTCTCTCCAGGATTTCCTGAAGAACCCCTCTCTCCACCTTCCTCCTCAGGAGTGTCTTGCATGGCTCTCTGCAGAAGAATCTTCAGAGTCTGCCTCTGGAACCTGCGATGCCTAATGGAGCCAACAAGGAAGTAAATGATGGGGTTGGCACAGCTGTTAACACAGGACAGGAAAGTTATAATTGCATAAACATTACAAGGGAAAACTCTATACAACTCTACAATCCAATCTAAGAGGAACCAATAGATACCAAAGGGCAGACCAAAGAGTAAGAAGACCAGCACTGTGAGTGCAATGGTCATATACAACCTGGTCACAGGAATCCTCTGTGAGCCACAGAAGATTCTGACCAATAGAGCCAGGCTGGATCCACAAAGAACCATTGATAATACTATTACAAATGTAGCAGTGATAAAATTGTAAGTCCTACAGAGAGAATGGTCATAATAACTAAATAGTAAGCCACAACCATCCCCTAAAAGGAGGCTTAGCAGTAGAGAGAAGGCCCAGAGCAGTGCACACAGGACAGATGACATGTATCTTGGTCGTTGGCAGTGATACCAGATGGGCCACAAAATGGACAGACAGCGATCAGCACTGATGGCTGCAATCATACACATACCTGCAAGGTAAGTAAAGATTAATACATTGAAGAGAGAGAAGTGAATATCCAAGTAGCTGTTATGGAATGAAATAAGTATACGCTCGAGGGAGTACACAGTCTGAAAGCAGAGGAAGAGGAAGTCAGCCCCAGCCAGGTTGAGGACATAGACAGAGAAGGCATTCCTGTGCATGTGGAAGCCCAGAAGCCACAGCACTATGGCATTTCCTGCCAGTCCAAACACGGCAATGATGACAGTAAGAATACTCAAAATTTTTTTCATGGTGACACAGAGTAAGCTTTCAGTGTAGTAACTTGAACTCATTATTATGTAGAAACTTTCATTCATTGTTGTGTTGTCAGTGCTCCAGGTTGGGGTGGATGGACCCATGCTTGAGAATGTTCCACTGGTGTTCCTGCAAGGTAAATTGAGATATGAACACATGATACTTACTGTCAAGACCACCTGGCTATGTGGCAATGTCTGGCACAGGTTCATAAGAAGGGGAAACAGGCTTGCAGAGAGTAAGTAATTTATCAAACCCCCACAGTGCTAGAAACATCTTTAAATCCAGTTTGTACTATTCAGTCTATCTGCAGACCACTGCCTCTAGGGATGCTGGGGCATTTGATGGTCCCAGTCCAGTTGCTAAGCATCTTATGCTGTGTCAGGAAGAGACAGAATTCTGAAACTACTTTTCTTTCTGTTCCAGGGCTGAGGTTCCTTCTCTGGTGTAGCAATATGGGAGATGCTGGCACAAGCCATAGCTGCCCTCAGGCACTGTAAGGGTCTACCAAATGGGAAAAACGGAATCCTGAATGAGAGTCATGAAGGGAATGGAACTTCTTATGAAGACCTGTGTGCGAACAGTCACACTTCTTATGCTAGAAGGGCTCAGCCTTCATATTAAAATTTGAAAACTAAAAGGCAGAGAAACCTTGGAGGACATTGAACACTTTTCTGTTTGTTATTATGTCACCAGTGTCCTATTCTCTATGGGGTTACAGGGGAGAGTTAAGAACTATAACAAATGAGCAAATGAACCATAAGTTCAAGGGTAGTTGAAAATTTGGAGTAAATGTTATTCTGGTTGTGACTTGTACCTACATACAAAGACAAAGGTGTTTTTTATGAAAAGTGTGCCCTGTGCTGCAGAGGAAGCTAGAGAGCACCTCCATTTGGGAACAGTGTCCCAACCCCTGGGAAGAGCTTTGAGAGCTATACATGGATGCAAACAGTCTGGAAAAGAGAGCAGCATAGCTGGGCAAGTAGCATAAGTTCAGGCTTTTCACTCCACTGCTCCATACTGACATCCTTAATGGGCTTCTATTTCTCACCCCTGAAGCCACAGACATTTGAAGAAAAGAAAGCCTTTCTTTTCTTAATTTTTGTATTCATTTTACATACCAACCACAGATCCACCTTTAATCCCTCCTCTTCCTCCCCCCCACACCCACTGAAACCCCCTCAGCCATACCACCCCTCATTCCCTCCTCCAAAAGGGTAAGGTCTCTGATGGGGAGACAGTAAAGCCTAGTACATTCAGGTGAGGCAGGACCCAGCCCCTCCCTGATGCCTCAAGGGTGAGCAAGGTGTCAGACCATAGGGAATGGGATCCAGAAAACCAGTTCATGCACCAGGCACAGATTCTGATCACACTGCCAGGAGCCCCTCAAACAGACCCAGCTACACCACTGTATCCTGTATGCAGAGAGTCTAGACTGATTCCATGCAGGTTCCACAGCTAAGACAGCTTTTCTTTTCCACACTGGCCAAAGGTGCAGAATGAGGGCTGTTCCTGTGCTTGCAATAGCTTAGCCTGAATAGTACCCATATAGAAAGCTTTGCATCACAGGATCCTTCTGGATAACTTCTTATTCTAGACAGAGGCTTTCATAAAGGAGAAATCATTTGAGAATGTTGAGGCATAGGTCCAGACCTAGGGAAAGCCCCCAGAAGACCTTACAAACTAACCTCATGCAAGGACTTTGATGAAAATCACCCAATAAACTCAGTTGTGTCCACCAAGATCATACCATTCATTCTTGGAGCCTTGATCACCCCATAGGAGCACAAGGTTTTAATCCAGGAAACCATCTTAGGGCATCGACAGCTTAAAATAGACTGATACTAGGTAAGCAGCTGACCCGAACACATTGAGTGAATTAGGGTGCATGATATGAATTTCCTGAAGATACAATAAAGAAATTATGTTAAATAAAAAAGAAGTGGACAAAAAATAATAAAATAACATACAATGACATAAAGATTGAACAGTCAGTGCATCATTAAAAAGTGACATGAGAGCTGGAGAGATGGCTCAGCAGAATAGAGCCTGACTGCTCTTTCAGAGGTTCTCAGTTCAATTCCCAGCAACCACATGGTGGCTCACAACCATCTATAACGAGATCGAGTGCCCTCTTCTGGCATGCAGGCATACATGCAGACAGAACAATGAATACATAATAAGTAAATAAAATTTAAAAAATGAGATGAAAGTAGAAAAGAGACTGGTTGGGAGGAAGAAGAATATCAACAGGATTGTTCAGGGCTGAGATAGGGTAACAACAGGTGAATATGATCACAATGAATTGTTACATGCATGAAACTGAAAAAACGATAATCACATACATAAATGGTATTCTCAGTGACTTAGTCAATGTTATTCCAAGATGCAACGGTTGTTAAACATGGCTAAATTAATTAATTAATTAATAAAGAGCATAAATATGAAGCAAAATTGATCATTTCAAAATGCGAAGCAAATGCAGGGACAAAATTGAATGCCACCCAGGGTGATAATGTGTGAAGAAACTTGGAAAAGAAATAGGGGAGCCTAACATGGTAAATGGAATATAGCACAAAGAGATAGCCAACAGCTCTCTGAATTGGGCAAACACAATATTGTTTAACAATTATGAAATAAATATAACCTCTTGACGTGTTATATTCAGCATTGTGCTTGACATCTTCATAAAAGCAATAAATCAAGATAAAGAAAAGCATCCAATTTAAAATTTAAAGGTTAAAAATTCACTTTATCCTTATTTAAAAACCATATATCCTAGAAATGTCTCAGTGGATCAGACAGTGAAGATGGGATGTATTTATCTCCTCATCCTCAGATTGTGTGAGACCTTGACATTGTTTGTTCATGAATGAATACACACATGCAAATCTTAACAGCATCAGATGATGAATCATGTATAAATTAGAAAGTCAAATACAACAAATGTCATTGACCAGCACGAACAAAGTGATAAAGAAATTCTCAACATTTCTAACTCATTTTTTAAAATTTATTTATTTATTTTAACGATTTATTTATTATGTATACAGTGTTCTGTTTGCATGTATCCCTGCAGGCCAGAAGAGGGTACCAGATCTCATTATAGATGGTTGTGAGCCACCATGTGGTTGCTGGGAATTGAACTCAGGACCTCTGGAAGAACAGCCAGTGTTCTTAACCTCTGAGCCATCTCTCCAGTCCCTCTAACTCATTTTTTAAACAGCCCTGAGTATATTCACAATTATTCATGCATGGACAAATCTTTGACCCTGGTCATGGGCAGGACAATGAGGCAAAGACCCAACACAGATTAGTTGAGCAGCAGAACACACTTAGATGCACAGTCTGTGGATGGATGTGGTTCTGACACGATTGCTTATCAGAGGAAGGAGGAAGAGGGAAGGAGAGGTGAGGTCTGAGTGCTGCTGCAGAGAGGGACCTGAAACAGGCATGTCTAGTGGAGGATTGCTAAGTGGTGTGCAGTAAATGAGAAAGAATAACCTAACATAACATGTGTCTTCTCCATGTTCTCTTCTAGAAGATGGTAGAAGATGGAGAGTTTTCTCTGATGACAAAAGCTTTCTGTGCAGACTGAAGAGAAGCTGAGAAGGTGCAGCAATTAAAATTCAAATAGTGATGGATAGGCAGTTGCAACTAGACTTTAGTTACTAGAGCAACAGGATGAGCTCGTATGTGGACTAAATGAACTCATTCTTTAAAAGCTTACCTATATTGTCACTTTGAATCCACCCTAGAAAATGTGGTGTAAGAATGACTTTTTTTTTTTTTTTTACCAGTTTTCAGAGGATGGAATTGTAACATAGAAGGATGAGTGATTATACTGTCTCTGTCAATGTGTATTTCAATCCAGAAAAAAAACTGCCTCACTAACAGTACAGTGTGTGTGTGTGTGTGTGTGTGTGTGTGTGTGTGTGTGTGTGTGCGTGTGTGTGTGTGTGTGTGTGTGTGTGTGTGTGTGTGTGTGTGTGTGTGTGTGTGTAGCTGGTGTTTGTAGCAGTTACAGGCAGATGTTAAGTTTTTCTTCAGTAGATCACTGCCTCACATTTTGAGACAGGGTTTCTTACTGAACATGGAACTCGCAGACTCAACAGCAGACCAGTAAACTCCAGGGATCCTCTGGTCTCTGCATCCCCAGCACTGGAGTTGTGGGCATACTCTGCCAGGCCTGCATTACTCTGGAGGTGGGAATTCATGTTATCATGCTTATACCACAGTTACTTCATAAACGAATCCATCTATCAGGAAAGGATTACCCGCTTTGACAAATTGTATACACCAGAACACTCTGCCTATTAGAAGTGAATAATGGAAAAGCACAGGAGAATTACTCACACTATAAGCAGGATAGCAGCCACAATTGTGGATGAATAAAATCCATAGCTAAAAAACTTGTGAAACAGCAGGAGAGAGGTCAAATGGGGCTGAAAATGGAGGTGGTTGACATCAGCTACAGTCAGCATAGAAGTGGTGATGGTAGTGTTTACCTGTAACCCCTGGACATGCTTTCCTTAAAAATATTTGTTGTGATGTTGTCCCTTGGGGCAAGCATGGTTAAATGTTCATGGTTTCCTGAGATCACATTAATATCATATCCTTGTGTTTTTCTCTCTGCATCTCTTCTGTTGTTTTTCTCTCTGTTCTCTGCTCCACTTTCCCCTATTTTTGAGAAGATACCAAAAATCTTTCTATGATCCCATGCTTGAGAGACCTTCAAGACCCTTATAGACTGTCAGAGAGGCCAAGTCCATTTATTTCTCTCTTAATGAATTAGCTGAGTTTTTAATTAAAAGGGATTCCCATTTGCATTCTATCTGCTCAGATGACAAAAACATTACTAGAAACTGGAGATTCAGAGATGAGTGGAGAAATGCAATAAGGCTGTGTCAGGATTTTATAGGAACAACCCCCTGCTCCTCTGTGTGTCTTTCCTGCACTGTCATGTTGACTTGACTGAGAGTCCTTGACCACAGCATACCACTGCCTTTTTAGGTCTGAAGAATAGCAATGCTGTACTTCCTGTGTCTGGCCAGGTGCAGCTGCAAACCCATGCATAATAACTTTTTTGGAAAGGTATTTTCTATAATTCTGTATTTGAGTAGCCACTCTCATGCTATAGCAAATAAGAAATACATTTTTCTGCACACATTACAGTCTAATCTTGTTATTTTTGATCAAAATTGGTGAGTCCCCCCAACAAAAGCAGCACTAGAAGAATACAATGCAAACAAGACAATGCAAACAAGACAAAATAATTCTGATAGGGGTGGGGGAGAAATGTTCTAATGACAGTTAAATCTAGAAATCTCACAGTGGAAGAAGACTTGCAAGCAAGGAAGTTTTTCCTTCCATCTTTCTCTGCTCCCTGACATCTCACAGAAGTGCCTTATCTCACCACTAAGAGCTATCCTTTTCTCTAAGTTTCTTTCTATTTGAAGCTGTTGGTGACAGTTCAAGGACACAAGAGAGATAAAAGCAAGATGTTAGCACTGTATTTTCTACCCATCTCCTGGTATTGATAGTAGCAGTGCTTCTCCATGCATTTAGTTATCCCTCTTACTACTGACCTCTCTTCACTGCTCCCTCCTCTCTCGCGTACTCCAGTACCAATTCCTTCTGCTGATTATTGCTTTATCATTATTCACCATTCATCTCCTCTGTCTCTAAGACCTGTAGTCTTTGTAAATAAACACTTTCTGTATTATTCTTCAGTTATTCAAATTCTATCCATATGTTTCTTCCTGAATGCAACATACAAACGTTACAGACCAGCTTTGAGAAACAACAAACAATTAGCCTATTGTCAGGGTTTTGCCCTGGGAAACACACTATTCACATTCCCTTTCTCCTTAAAGAAATAACAGACATGAATATGAATGATTTTGACAAAAGTAAGAAAAGTCTGTTTAAGCCAGTCTATCTCTCTGCCTCAAAAGGAAGCCTCTGTCTCATTCTTTCCCAGGAGAAACCTTGGGATCCTGCATGCTATGTTTTGTGGTAGCAACACAGGAATATGGATATAGAGAAAACTCCAAGACAGTAACTCTCTCAATATTCTTGGAATATATTCTTACCTTTCTTCCATTTTCAGGTCTAGAGGTGGAGGGAGAGCTGACCAAGGCTGAAGAAGGTCCTTTCACAGATTTGTTCTAGACTCTGCTTCCTTGTTCTGGAATTGGGATTTGCATTCAGGAGCTGAGTAAATATTTCTGATTCAGGCGAGGTTTATAAAAATCTTGAGCAGACCTTGTGACTTCCAGTAAGTATACGGGAACAAGTCACACACTGGAAATATTTGGGTCCATATTCCCACTAAGATGTTTCTTGGCATCTTCCCCATTTCCGCTCTCTTATCAGCCTCTCCTACCTCATCCTTTATGTCTACCTGTGTAAAAATAATTACTCTTCCCTCATTTATGGACCAACTCCCATAATAGGTTGCAACATCAAGTAGTATTAGCTTGTGTTGTGTGAGTGCATAACTGAAAAATAATCATATCATTCCTCACATATCAACCTTTATCATCCCATCCTAACTGATTTACCTACCTGTAAATATTTTTGTTCTCCCCATTAAGGGCCAATCCCCACCACAGCTAGCAACATCAAAAGTGCATGCTTGGGTTTAGTGACTGTATAATTGAAGCATAAGCAGACCATGCAGACTTGCATGGCTCTGCATGGTGATGGTGTGTCACTCTTGATACTTCTTCCCCAGCAGTAATGCACTCAGTGTGGTGTTCTTCCCAGGGACATTCAAGCTGACAGTCCTTCTGAGTCCTCTGCGGGTATCCTAAGTTCCAACTCTCACTCATCTTCACACTTTTATTAGTAATGAAGAACCAACCTGCCTCTGTCTTAATCTTCTAGGCCAATTCAAAGTAAAGTCAAACTAGGTTCAGTCCTGTTTATGATTAAAACTCTGCTTTTCAGAGATTGGGTTATGTCTCATCTGTAACCATAAGTAGAAATGGTTCTGTACTGCCTGTTCCAGGAACTGTAATCATGTCTCTGTTTTCAAAAGTTGTTTATAACCATCTCTCATCTCTCCCTTTGTTTCAAAAGGTTATATGACCACCAATGAATACCTTGTTATGACTACCTATTGTGATTACCTTGTTTCGACCACATGCTATGTTCTGATCCTGTAATCCTGCCTATTTCCCCCATTTGGAAACCCCTTACACATAATATGTATAAAAGCAATGTCTTCCTCATATCCAATGCTGAATTCTGGAGCCCATCTTAGGGGGCAGCAGCTCATGTACATGAATCAAAATCCTTGCTTTAATGAATTGCTTTCTTTAATTATTTTGACCAGAACGATTTGGGTCACTGGTCTTTCACCTCCCATCTTTGGGATTAACACTAGCACCTCTGAACAGAAATGTTATTTTTATTTTATTTCATCAGTATAAAAAATGTGTTGGGCCACCCATCTTGTAAATGCCGATTTCAGCATGTGTACCAGTTCATACAACCTACTTCATAAAATTTGTTAATCTTTATGTTCTTAGAGTGTAAATGTTCTGAATTTTAAGTATTTTCTTCTATGATTTAACTTTACATTCTTCTAATCACAGGCACCTTTGGTTCATTTCCAGTTTTTTAAAAATGTTATTTCATTTGGAAGACAAGAAGGACAAGTACATTGTAGACTGTGGGGAAAATACTGTGCTTTGGATGTGGTTTTACTGTGTCCACCATGTAGTGGACACTTGTTCAGCAAGGATGATAGCTTTGGGAGGATCTGTGGGGCTTTTAATGGGTTAATCCCAAAGGCTGGTCCTCAGCGGACTTGGTCTTGGGTTCACATGTGACCTATAGTGGTGTTTGAGAGTTGTCATAAAAGGAGCATGCCTGGCCTTACTTGGGTCTCATTGCTTCCTGTATGGAGACAGGATCTTTCCTTTGCACATGCTCCAACATGTAGCCTTGGCCATGCTCAGAACCCTGCAACACATGAATTGTTCAAAATGATGCAGTCTCAGTGGGATCTGCAGTATAGGTAATTTTGTTTCACCAACATCAAGTACCCTTTCGGTTAATGTATTATGTCAGTGTGGGGGTTCACATGACTACAGGGTAGGTAGAGGTTATATCAATACATTATATATTACTTTACAACTTTGTTTCACTCTATAATTAATTTAGATTAAAATGTTACAGAACAACTGAAAAGTCAGTGTGTAGGATTGAATACCTACATGTATGTCACCATCACTATGAATACATTATTTGAGTTGTAGAGGAGGTAGTTTGCTAGACCCCCAAAAGAAAATATAAGCATTCATTTATTCCATTACAATTAAGCAATATTTAAAAATTTGTCATGTTTTTCTTCTACTAGTTCTTTTAAAAAGATAAATAAAATATAGAAAGAGTTATAGGTTCTCACTTGCATTTCTTCTTCCATGACCCACTCTATAATTTCTAAACATGGTAGGAATTATTCTCTTAAACATGCAACAAGATGCTAAAAGAAAAATTAATTATGAACCTTGAGTTAGTGTAAAGCATATTTCTCCTACTGGTAAAGAAACTTGACTAGAGTGTGAAAACATGCACCATAAACTAACACAATGATGTATTAATGCCTAATTATAACCATGTGCAAGTGACACACAGAATTAAAATCTGAGCTATCTTATAACATGATACCTTAATTCACCCTCTATATCACATATATAAAAATTTGTAGTTAATTTTTATCTGTAGATTAAGTTTTGTAACTCATGTGAAGTGGAAACTCATCCATGTTTTAAATATTGCTATATACATAAATATAGACACAGAAATAGAGCTATACCAGTATTTGTCATACCTGAAACTCTGTATCCTACTTCAGAGAGAGTTGCTCATTGAAGTATATTGTTGGCCTCTTCACAATTGCCAGGAAATAGTAGAAGCCTACATATCAATCACTTGATGAATGAATGATGAAAATGTTGTTCATATATACATGGTATATTATTCATTCATAAAGATATGATAAATTCAGGTAAATGAATGAAGTTGGAAACAACCCTTCTGAAGGAGAAAACCCCATCAAAAATGTCAATGTTTAATTTCCTGTTGTGTATGCAGATAACACATTTGATACTTCAGATAAGTGTGTTTAAATTGGAGTATCTATATAATGCAGGAAACTGGTGAGGGGCTGTGCAGGGAGTGGGGCAGGAGAATTCAAGAGCAG